ATATGTAAACTATATTATTCATTATTCTTGGATTGCTACTAGAATAGCACTATTTATTGTTATGTAAATAGGTTTGTAGGACAAAAGAATTACCTAAATTAATTCAAAAGATGCATATGTGTATCGGAAGATCAGGTGACAGCGTCTATAGTAATTGTTTTTGTAAGTCATTATTCCACTATGTTAATGTTTACAGCTGGACATGAAACTCAAGTAGCATTATTATTTCATTATGCATTATTGATGTGCATTTAATAACAAATGTGTGATTGATAGTTATAGGAATGAATACGAGTTGTTACTATAATATCGGCTCTGCCTATAAGTATTTACGTCTGCTTTATAAAAATACGAATATGTAAACCATCAAACACGTGTACACGGTATGGTCTTATTTCTCTCTTTGTCCATGCTGTGTATGTTTGCAATTGGTTTGAGAGACGCATGCACCAACAAACAAGAAAGAATGATAATTGTTTTTGTTTCATGGATATGTACTAAGGGGGGGGGGGTAGTTCCGCAGGCTAATTTAATATCTAATCTGAAGGATTGGAAATTGAAATAATTTGAATATATTTTAATTGACTTGAATTTATTCAACACTTTCATAAATAGAAATATGCAAAAGTCAAATATAACAATACGAATCCACTCTTCTTGTATTTATACACTGTCGCCAATGAAGTTGGAATAAATTTAAAACAACATTCTTTTCATGAATGATTTTGATACTATGATTTATTCTTCATAGATAAGTTGTATATCTTTTCAGAACTTTATTGATCAATCTCTTCCAAACATTTTAGAATGAAAATCAAACCACAGTTAACCTTTACAAATTATATATTGTGGTTTTAAAACATGTGGATTTAGAGGCCTAAGCACGAAGTCTGAAGTTCTGTTTTTAATTTTCCTCTACCATCATATTTCCCAAATATATATATATATGTTTTGGGGTAACTTTAAAGGTAATACAAAGTTTTGGTATGGGGTCATGAATTTGGTTCAAATGAACATATTGAAAGCATATACGATCCTACAATATTCAGTGATCGTTGTCACGGTCGAAATCGACTCTAAAGTTATGAAATTGTAAATAATAAACACTTTATGTTGAATAGCTCCCTCTCAAGGTCAAGATATTAATTAAGCTACAAAACATTGTTTGTCTACTAAAATTGACTTATTAGCTATTCTCGTTCGGAAATTATATACCACAACTACATACTCTGAGATTTTCATGGTCGCAGCTACCATTGTGCGGCCGTAGGAGCTATTTTAAATTTATCAAAATTTACCGGGAGCACCGGTAAACCTTTATATTCAATTTTTCTCGAAAGCAGAAGTGTTTTAGGGGCTAAAATTTCTAGTGTTTTAATTCATCCACAGGGGCATCCAAATATATTAAAATTGTAAAGAATCACTATCCACCCATTTTTCAAAATTTCCCAAAACTTTGTAATACCTTTAAACAAGTATCACTGGTTAAGTTGCAAAAAAATGAAGGGACAATTCGATTTTTTTTTTCGGGGGGGGGGGGGGGGCTTACTTCGTTCCATCTGGTTTTCCGGTTACAGGAATTTTGTGAATAATCAAATCCTAATTCCCGAATAGCCGGGTGTAATGTCTGTGAAATACACCCTCTTTATTGTCAAAGTGTCGAGTGCAGGTTACCAGATACTTTCTAAAAAAGCTACAGCAAATCTACGAAAACTCGCGTCTTGACTAAACAATTTCTAATACGTGATAACAAAGTTGGAAAAAGGACATCGAATGACACTTCATCAATGTCTGAATGTATAGGTGAACGTGTTCTCACAAATGTACATGCTAAAAAAAGATTAGCGTCATCTCAATTAAGGACCATGATTGAAAAGAATTGTGATTATATGCAGTCAGTTAACCCAACCTTTCGATAATATAGGGGCATGTTCTCACAAAACATCGTGTAACCCGACCTGTCGCAAAGACCCGATGGAGCGAAGTAAGCCGATCTTTTCTACCCATACAGGTAATTAATTATGAGCTATGAATATTTATAAGTATTTACCATTTTGAGGATACATATGCTGTTTATAAATAGATAATGATAAAATTTTTTTCGGTAAAGGTTAAGACTGTCCAATACGATATGCAATACGATATCAGTTTCTGGTCTCTTTAAAAACGAAAACAATTATATATGTAGTATTTAACTGATCCATATTCATATGTTTTTAAGTATTAATTATTATTCCATACTTCCATTTTACTTCTTCACAATATGGAATACGCATTTGTCTTAATTTCATAAGTATAATAATTATGTGTAATATATAACTTTTACATGTATGTTTTTTTTAAGTATTTCTTTTTTTACATAAATACATAAATATGTTCTTAACTTATTTAATATCTTGTTTTATTTATTTTTGTTATACTATATATATATAGATATATATATATGCCAACAGATTATGATGATCATGACTTATTTCAATCGTTTATCTTTTTGGGCCTATCAATATAGTTTTAATTAACTAAAGTGTTTTAGCTTATTTTCTATATATTGTCTTGTTATGGTTGTAAATTTGTTAGTGTTATATTACTTGTGTTTATATGCAGAGCTGCCAACCTCCAGAACAGAAAATCAGTAATCACAAGGCTCAAAATCAGTAATTTGGGGTATAAATCAGTAATTTCTTATGCGGCGCTATGAATCTAAAAAAACGACACGCCAACACTGCGCGGACGCATGATTATCTGAAATTTTTGGTGATTTTACTCACACAAAGATGTTAAGTATTGAATTTCAGGTCATCACAACACAGTTTATCATGAAAAATGGCTCCTATTCACAGCACTCGCTACGATAAATCATATTTAATTCATTAAAAAAAATTAAAAAAAAAAAAAAAAAAAAAAAATCTTTTTTTTTTTTTTTTTTTTTAAATCCGTAATTTGAGACAACATTCCGTAATGGTCGTTAATTTCCGTACCAATTACGGAAAATCCGTACTAGTTGGCAGCTCTGTATATGGCATGATTATGTTGTTGTTTTTATCAACACGGCCCTGATTGAAAACAGTCTGCGAACTGTTTCGGGCTTTTACGGTGTATAAATAAAATAAACTCAACATTTGCCTGGAGAGCCCGAGACTGATCTTTGTCCTTCGATTTTTCTTAGGGTACGTGAAAACGTCAAAAGTCACATCTGGCAAATAAGAGAACGTTGAGAAACTGTTTATGAGCTTACTCATTATTATATAGGCCCCATGTCAGTTATGATAAGTGCCCCTTTCCCTTCTCATTAGTGCCTCTTTTCCCTTCTGACAATTGCCCTATTCAAATCTGATTTTTGTCACTTTTACTTTGTAATTAATGTCTCTTTAATACCCTCTCCTTAGTAGTGCCCCCATTCGGGTGCGAGATGTGTCTCTTTTCACCTATCTGATAACTTGTTTGTTAATACTTTTAACACGTGCCTCTTTTCCTTTCTAAGTGGACTTTTCCCTTTTGATTAAGTGCCCCATTTTTCTTTCTATTAAGTTTCAATTCAGAATATACCCAAACTAGTGGGACCATTAAATGTTATTGTGGAGACATCAAAATCAATATGACAGAAATACATGAAAAACAATAATTCTTTCTCATTTTATACAAAAACAATAATTTATTCAACCTTTTCTTGCATCATTTCATTCTTTTTTACAGTCATACGAAATGTGCCTCTGGCAATATATACAAACATTTAACAAGCCAAGAAAGAGGCTGTGATGTGTAGACTCGTCTTGGCATAAGAGTTGTAGATTGACTGGCGAAGGATGGAAGAAAGGGAATATTTATGTTTTACACATGTTACCAGCTTAATTAGAAACAGGTGAATAAAAGGTTAGGCCTAGACAATAAAGAAAGAACTGCCCGGAACAAGTGAAAATAAGGTGAATCTATCGTTGATACAGCATAATAGTTTTCAATTGCACAACACATACCTGAACATTAAACCTGCTCAGCTCACAAAGAAATAGGAGTAGTTGTGCATGTGTTACAATATTACAATGGTAGTCATACTGGCATAATGATGGGGGGGGGGGGCAGTTGCCCCCTAAATAAAATTCATATGTGGTTTATTTCTAATTCAATACCATAAATATTGCTGAAATTACTTTTTTTCTGCCCCCTCCCCCCCCCCCCCCCCCCCCCCCCCCCAAAAAAGAAAAGTTTTTGCTCATAATATGCCACTGATGGTAGTAAACATCTAGTACAAGTGTGGCACCTCAAATATCTAAGTAACTTGCATAGCCTCTTTTATAGGGAGAGGGTCGTCAGTTTCCATGTGCAGAAGGCCTATCAAAAAATACCCTGAATAGTCTCTCAGAGAGTCTTCGGGTGAAGATAATGACTTTACGATATAGGCGAATGCAAAGCATTACAAACAAATATGGCCTGTTAGTCATTAAACTGAAGGCTAATCCTGGTGAATGACATCACCTGTAATTAGGCAAACACCCAAACAGTGTCAAATTCCCCATGAGGGTCTACTTCTACGTGTCTTTAACACTCTAGAAATCACCATGCATGCTTCTTATATTAGAAAGAATAAGTACATGTAGATTGTGTCTCATTACATTTCTATTTTAAGGCACTTATAGGTACATAACGCCATCTCTCATCAAAGGTTCATCTTTATTGTCCATCCCTTTAGCGATGGAAACTTGTGGTTGCGACAGAAATTGGGAAAGTTTGCACCTGTAAAGTATGAACAGTTTCAAGTGCTTTACAGTATCGTTATTCTATAATTTCAACAAAACCACTGTGAAGTATGACTTCAGCTCTTTAATCTACCAAAATTCTTCGGCCGGATAGATGATTTTAGTTTGATGATTACAAAGCACAACCATACTTCTCTGATATTAACGCAATTTACATTATTATGTTTATTATTATTATTATACTGTTTTACCTGACTGCTGAGAAAGCATGTATGTGCTTGTAAGTAAGCAACCAGGGGACCAACGGCTCTAAGTCCTCACAGAAGGACTTGGTAATGAGGATTGAAGCCTTACTAAAGGGCATAAGCTCATTGACTTGGCTTTGAACCCGGGACCTCCTGGTTACGAGACCACTGGTCTACCACTGAGCCATCGGACCTCCTGTACTTTTCCTCAAGTTCAGAGTTCAAATCAAGATTCCTGGACTCAGCTTTATACAAGGTCCATGAAACAACATGCAACCCACATGGCTCCGTCTAAAGTATTCAAATACTTTCTTTAGGAGAAGTACCAGAGTTCTTCCATATTTTGAACAAGAGCTACAGAACAGAATCAAAGATCCGTTGAACATAAATCTGTCATTTTTTCAATGCTTTTGTCAGACTTCACTGTCTCTCTGTCATGAAACTGAAAAATCCTCATCTAACTTTTGCATCTTCTCTGTCCAAGAAAATCAAGACTTGTCCATATCTGCAAGCATTCTGAAAACAGCAAAATATAGTAGGGCTTTTTTTAGACTTCACTATCTCTCTGACATGCAACTGAAAATTCAAACAGAATTCATATCACCTCTAATTTACTTATTTTCTAGATCTTAAAATCCCTTGAAGAATGCAAAATACAGAGGGTCTGTTAATCCCACATTACAAGGTTTTCATTTGTCTATGATCCCCAGTTCTTTGATCTTGTTAACTCATAGCCTGCCATAAGACTGTATGCACACTACCGTTATAGTGCTTTGTACATGCCAGCGAGCCATTGCTTCGGTGCTTCATGCATGCTTGCACGCATTCGTAATAGCAGTTATTGTTCATGATCATTGTACTGTGCTGTGTGTTTCGCATGCGCTATTCATAGAACCATCACGTTAATCAGATTACCTCAAAATAAACTTGGCACGGGGGGATTTGGGGCTTGCCACAATGGGGATTAGCCCTGTGGCATGATAAGAGTTTAGGAAGAAGCGTTCATTTGTCTACGATGCCCAGTTCTTTGATCTTGTTAAGGAAGAAGCGTTCCAGGGTGTTTGCACAGCGAACATATTCTGTGTCTGCTGCATTGTATGCTCTGCAGTTGCTGAAGACCCGTTGCATGTCGGCGATGAAGAGCTTCCGAGAGCTGTAATACTTTCCTTTGAAGCGCTCGGTCATTGTCTTCAAATCTGAAAGTAAGAAAGAAGAAACACAGAGTTACTTCAAACTCACGTATACCAATATGATTAGAATAGTGTTGTGCATCTTTGGACATGAACTTAAACAAAATAAATTACAGAATGTTAAAGAATGGTGTGAACATTTGTGATCTATGTTAGCCGAAAAAATAACAATCTCTGAGTATTGTGTACAAAATGAAAATGAGCCTATCCTTGTTTTATGTATGTTTTCTACATTATTTCATTCTTCTTCAGTAATCTAAAAACATCCTCTATCCGAATAAAGATAGAGATAAAACCCTATATCAGCTGAACAGAAAAAAAAGAAAAAAAAAAAAAAAAGAAAACAAAAGAAAGGTACATAAAGTTGGAAAACAATAGAACACAAAGAAAATTAAATCAAATGATATTTAATGAATTTCTGTTATTCCAATGTTTTTTTAACTACAATTGATAAGGAAAGCAAACCAAGATAACATCTTCTAGGAGACAGATGGGCGCTATCTGAAAAATATTCTACGGAATATCTCAACTCACCCATGGGATACTTGATGTGCTCGTAGTAGTCTGGTGCTTCGTTCTTTTCTACTGGTTTCAAGAAAGGCCATGCACTGTTGTGATTCTGTGACAAAAAACAATAGTATAAGCAACAATTATTACCAAATAACAAACACTTCATATTTAAAGGTCAATCCAACCCTTGTAATAAGTTGATTTGAATGAAAGCAAAAAAATAAGAGATAAAGAATGGCAAGAGTTTGAAATGAATCGTACCAATAGTAAGGAAGTTATGAATGTTTGAAATAAGAGATCACTAAACAATGCGAAACTCAAATGGGTAGTTTGGTCAGTGGATTGTGACATAGGACGTGGATAACTGTCCCAATAGCCGTGCACAAAAATATCCCAAGGGAGAAGGAACTTACGAGGAAAACAGAATTAGAACTTTCAAAAATGTATAAATTTCTTATACTTAGTCAGATTTAATTGAAACTTTCATCAGTTTGCTTCTCTTATTTTTCTGCTTTCTTTTAAATAGACTAGTTGTCTATTTGGGTAGGATTTCCTTTTAAGAATAAAACACAATTCAGGTATGCTTCCAATAGTGCAACCTTTAATTTGCCTTTTATTAATATTATATATGAGGGATAGGCTCTAGCATAAGGACCTTACTCCTTTTTAGCTCATCCCTTCACTCCCATTAAGTTATGTTTGTTTGTTTGTTTGTTTTGTTGTTTTTTGTTGGTAGATGTACATGTATGATATTTTATGTGTGATTATCCTGTATTTAATTGTATATATTCTGTATTTTTAAAGATGAGTGTAAATAAACGAACTTGAACTTGAATAGGTCTTTTGGGCTAGTAACAATGCACACATGAAGGGTTTATTTACATATGATGCAGTAAACAGGTGCGTTTACAAAAAAAAAACATACATGTAAGTGTCAATTAATGGCAACTGTGTGCAACAAAGGTCTTTCGAATATACACTGAGCTCTGTGTAACAGTATTAGGTACAGACATGTGAACAATATTACACTTAATTTTTGTCATCATTATTGTTAATGCTGCCGTTTGCTGCATCATATTCTGAACAAGAGTAATGGATTAATCACAGTATTGGTCAAATTCATGGAGTGACTGAAAAACATGAAATTCTTGGGACATCTCTTAAGTCAAAACACTGTTTCCCTTGGAAAAAAATAGTACACAGAATCAATAAAATCAATAAACTTAAATATTGTATGAAAATCTTCCTTACTCATATCTCATGCTCATTACTTATTCATCTGAGTTATTCATCATTTTATCATATTAACATTATTCTTCAAACCTCTTATAACGAAGCAATTACGTAAGATAAATAAAATTGCTCTCTGACCTTTACAGCGGTCAGGACAGTCTTGAATGCAGACTGGACCTGTTCCTCGTTGAGTGGAGTGACCTTTGGTTTCTCTCTGACCGGCCTCCATCCAGCATCCACTGCATAAGCACAGAAAATTAGAATATTTTATTCATGTAGGGTAAGAAAGAATCATGTGGTTTTCATGCAAGCTCGTTACTCTTACATGGACATTCTTTTGATACATAACCATTCAAATGGATACAATACTGCATATAAAATCCAGGTATATCCACACTACATATAATGTACAGTATGTTGATGATTCCAGAACCTTGCAGTACACACCAATAATTATATGCTAGATGATCAACCTTTTCTGACCGATTCCACAACGTTTCTTTCACAATGCAATCGCATGACCAGAACTAGTGGTCTTTACCTTTAAGTCTTATAGTTCATTGATTTATTATCTAGGTTGAAGAAAGAAATTAAGAATAAATCTATATTACCAGTATAAACTTACAGAATCTAGATGGCAACCACAATAGATTTTGTATCAATTGCCCAGAATATTCCTCCTTTGAACAATGAGATAAAACTAATATTTTCTTAGCATGAGCACACTGCAGTTGCCATGAGCAACTTGGCTCGAATACCAAGACACAGACTACTCTCCAGTGGTATTTGTCTTGTGTCCTCTTTTAAGCACGTAAGTCAAAAATATACTTGTCTCTCCTACCAATTGCATCAAAGACAGATTACCTACTCTACTTCAAATATGATCAATTAGAGATGACTTTCCTCCTTAACATTCAATTAATTGGTGATTATCTTGTCTACTTACCTAGACCTGGAATGCTCTCTATCGGTTTTTGGCTGACAACCTCGAAAAAGCATGTTAGTCTAGGATAGTATGGACCATGAGAGTCTGGAATTACTGGATAGACTAGTTTCTACTCACAATCTTATCACATACAGATTACTTACTCTACTTCAAACATGATAAATAAAAGATGATCTTTCCTATGTGACATACATTTCATTAGGCTTTAAAAAAAATGTTGTTTTGCCCTTTGCGACCGACCCAACAAATTTGAAATCGACGGTCAGCATTTAAATAATAACCTTTTTAAAACCGTTTTTTAGAAAGAAAAAAAAGTTTTTAAACAAAAATGATTTCCGACCGACCGACCCATGTTTTGGCACCTAAAGGGCAATACAACATCTTTTTTGTTTAGTCCTTAGAGATAATCAACTGTGTACTTACCTAGACCAGGAATGCTCTCCATGGGTATCTGTCTCACACCCTCTTTGAAGCATGTTAGGCCAGGATAGACACTTCTCTCCTCGTGCTGCTTCATCTCTATCAGCTTTTTCACAATCTAATTAAAGACACATAGGAAATCATTATTATACGGTAATGTTCTGTCTTTCTCATGCATATACAGTGTAACATTATGAGATAACGTGTCCATACGATGCTCAAAGAAATCAGTGTAAAATAAACAAATATACCATAAACTGAGAGGCTCTAGTTGAAATCATGGATCGAGGTGGCAGGAATAGTGCTATTTCTGTCGCCGAGGAATCCATGATTTCACTAGTGGCTTGAAAAGTGCATGATATATTTGTTTTGTATTTTTCAAACCAACCTTTATAAAAATAATAATAAGAGCAGCCACCATCACTGAAGTAGTGTAGAGTTCAGTGAACAGCGCGGGAGACCGTACCGATACTGATAGCACATTGATCTTGATCGATCGCATATCTATGACTTCATCCATGGTATACCATGGATGACATCAAGGTATATTACTATTTTTCTTATCGGTAACATCATAGCAATAATATGTTTGGTCCCATGATGCTAAGCTGACCAATCACTGTACAGGATTTCATTCATCAAAAATATAATATACCCTATTTCTAGTGCGCATACAGTATAGCATTATGATGTAACATCTGGATATGCTGCCGAAGTGCTTTGAAAGTACTTCTTCAACTTTAGCTCCGGCAAGACTCACCTGCAAGCAATTAATTTTAAAAATACTAAGGTACCCATTTTCTAACCTGGGGTCAAGAGTGACAATTGCAGATTAATATCTTGCCAGAGGACATTACTGCTACACCAAGGCTCAAACCAGCAACCTTTGCATCTCCAGTCAAAAAAAATTAAAACACAGGAGTATGATAATTCTCATCAAGTTTCAACACAGTACACCGTACCACAAACAACAAGCGCCACTATCGTCCATTTTTTTAACGGTAGTCTCCGCATAACAGGTAGCATGTTAAAAGGTAAAAAAGCTCCTTATCCAGTCTTACCAGGTTATATGGAGAGAACTGTACCTACATTAAGAGAAATAACTTGTCAATAAAAGTGATGATACACAACCTCCTGAGAAAAACAAAATCTAAAACCATTTCCAAGGATTTTCCAAGATTTATAAAATGTCATTGTACCTTTTTCTGTCTGTGTATGATGAGCGAGAACTCAGTGTGTGGTATACGCGGGTTGAGCTGACAGCCCATGAGTGTAGCGCCCTCATAGTCCTTGATGTAACCAGCGTAACTGGACTTGGGCATCTTGATGTCTTTTGAGAAACCCTGCAGGGAAAAAATGAGGAGAAAAGTTAAATGAAAGACATATGACAAGACAGGAAAGGATAATGTATGTTGAGAGACAGAAGGCTATTCATAACTCATCATTTTGCACAGAGTAAACTTTGTTTTTGCTCTCAGCAAACAATATGGTAAAAGAAATAGGAAAATGGAAAGGAGACCATACCATAGCAGGAAAAAAAAAAGAGAAAGTGAGACAGAGGGACAGAGACAGAGAAAGAAAGAGACAGTGAAAGATAGATCGAGAAAGAGAAAGAGATAGAGAAAAAGAGAGACAGTATAAGAGATATAGAGAAAGATAGAGACAGTATAAGAGAGATAGAGAAAGAGAGAGATAGAGAAAGATAGAGACAGTATAAGAGAGAGAGAAAGAGAGACAGTATAAAAAAAAATAGAGAAAGATAGAGAAAGTATATGAGAGATAGAGAAAAAGAGAGAGAGAAAGATTTTGGCAAAGAAAACAGAATACATAACTATGACTGATAGACAAAGAAAAATAAAGGAGAGGAGAAAGTGAGAGAAAGAAAATACTGAGACACAGTAAGTCAGAGCAACAGAGAAAGAGAGAGAGAGAGGGGGAGAAAGAGAAAGAGGGGGAGGGGAGAGAGATAGAGAGAGGGGAGAGGGATATAAACTATAAAGAATTGAGATAAATACAAAAAAACAAGAGCCCTGCTCTACCAGTGAGCCAGCAGGCCTCCTCAAATAATATGCTTATTCAATGCTTTATACCTGTTTCTTGAAGTATCCAATTGCAAACTCATCAGCGAATGTCAGGAAATGAAGAACCCCATGCTTTACATGGTAATCCTTGAGATGGTTCATTAGATGGGTGCCATAACCCTGGAAAAAATTATTAAGATATTAATAATAGTATAATAATATTTAGCTTTGATATAGCGCTTAATACAAATGTTTCTAACGCTTTACAAATATACTATTACCCTGGTCATTGGATTCAGTGCTGGCCCGCACACATCTCCACTCCCTGGGGAGCATTCCAGCCAGGCGTTACTTGAGGCTCAAAAACTGTTTGACCAACAATGACAGTGATAGGCAAAGATACTATTAATTGAGGTTGATATTAAAGAGGCCTAGACATACTGGAGCCCAATACATTATTGGCAGTAGTGGTAATTTCTTTGGTCATGGTAGTAAGAAAAGAAGCCATAGTTGTAAATGACTGTAATAGGGAATTGACTGATCAGTGTTAAAAAAGAAGTTTATATAGCCTAAAACACAGTTAACAGGGAAAAAACAATCAGGCATTCCTGAATCATTGTGAGAAGAATGATGTATTAAAGAGTTTTGAATGGATATCTTGATGTATGCTATAGACGTTTTTAATTGAACACACACTGTACAAGATTGGTGTCAATTTGGTATTGTACCAATAAACATTATATTCATTATATTTTACACAAATTTCATGACAAAAGCCTAAGAAATGAGACAAAAATCTGGCTCACAGTAGCACTTTGCCAAGTGAAATCCCCCTTTACTATTTAGACGTACCTTGACTTGCTCATTAGAAGTGACTGCACAGAAGACGATCTCTGTGAATCCTTGGGTTGGAAACATTCTGAAACAGACTCCGCCTATTACTCTGTTCTCCTTCACTAACGCCAGAGTCTTGTGCTTTCTGGAAGAGTAATTGATGAAAGATGTGTTTTATGGTTTAGTTTTCATCATCATCATCATCCCCATCATCATCACCATCGTCATCTTCACCATCATCACCATCATCGCCATCATCATCGTCGTCAATATCATCATCATCGTCATCATCAACATCATCATCATCATCATCATCATCATCATTGTCATCACCATCATTATCATCATCATCATCATCATCATCATCATCACCATCATCATCACCATCATCATCATCACCATCATCATCATTTTCATCATCATCATCATTATCGTCGTCCTCATCGTCATCATCACCATCATCATCATTTTCATCATCATCATTTTCATCATCATCACACCATCATCATCATCATCATCATCATCATCATCATCAGCATCATCACCATCACCATCAACAACAACCACCACCATCATCATCACCACCATCACCATCAACACCACCACCATCACCATCATCATCATCATCATCATCACCATCATCATCATCATAGCGTCATCATCATCATCACCATCATCACCATCACCATCATCACCATCATCATCATCACCAACATCATCATCATCATCACCATCATCATCATCATCCTCATCATCATCACCATGGACCATCACACATGTCATCATCTTGATTGGTAGACTTACGTATCAAATACCAGTCTGGTGATGTATTCCTTGGGCATTCTCGGAAGCTGGTGTGAGAAGACGTTCTGTAGGCCCACCAACCATATAAGAGTCTGTCTTGACGGTTTCCGTGTGACTGAATTACCGATGACATGGAACTCTATCACCCCTCTCCTCTCCTCGTTCCTTGCAGCCTCATCACGAGCAGAGTGAGCAGCAAACAGATTACCCTGGAAGAAATAAAGATAAATATTGAGGTGGTTGTGAAAAAATAAGATTGAATGAAACACAATGAATATGGTTTTATATTGTTTTACTTGTAAAAATAATAATAAAAATAATGGTGGCTTCCTAAAGAGCGTACATCTCTGTCGTAAAGTGACACTCCTGCCGCTCCAACATTAGTATCAAAATTAGTATCAAAACAAATTGTGCATGAGCAGATATGTATGTTTAGATGGTTTATAATGGATTGTAGTGCATATATCTGAAAAGAATGCCACACTGGGGTTATCGCCAGGATCTCTCCCTACACAGCAACGTACAGAGGTACAAAGAAATCTCAAACAGCCGTCTGTAGGCTTCATACATGTTGGTCTTACAATTGAATGGTCTTTTGGGCCGAGGATATAATTGTACTCCTATCATTTCTTCTTTATTCCAATTGTGAAGAAAAAATTGGGGAAATCAAAGCATCTTGAAATGTCCAATTTCTTGCTAATCATTAACTAAACCTTTAAAAATCTTAACAAAAGGTTTAATGGTTCCAAACATACCTCTGGGCCTACCATGGCAGCAGGGTCTGTAACGGTTGATAGCACCTCACCTAGAATATTATCTGGAATATCCTCTATAGGGGTGGTAGAATGATGAAAAGAATACTTTTTCAAGGTAACAAAAAATAGTAACATGATAAACAAAGTTTGAAGTTATCTAGTAATAATGTCATTGGCAAAACCAGGTATGCACCTTGAAGGTACCATTTAAATGTCTAAATGCATAATGTAAAATCAGGCTAAAAGAGGATTGGAGTCACAATTATATATGGTGGGAAAAGAACTTTTGATTTCTTAGTTTTAACCATTTAGTTATGATGATATATGAGATTTTTAAATTTATATGCATAGCTGCAGAAAAAGAATTCTCATTTTGTTTTACAGGAAATGATTATTAATTAATGTTGATCATTTGTCATTTATACAGTTTTATAATTGTTTAATGTTTTCCATTCTAAGGCAAAATATAAAGAATGCAACTTTTGTCATGAGCATTACAAAATTACAAATAATACCTTAAATTTCCATTTTTAATAATGTTTAATCATTGTATACCTTCTAGTCGCTGTCTCTTGATTTCTTCCTCAGTCGGTAATTCATCAATTTTACGTTTATCAGTGGCTGAAAAACAAAACATTATTTGAAAAAGTGTGTGATGGTCACAGGTTTAGAAGAAGTTACAATTTACCAATTACCATAATTGAGGGGGAACGTTTTTAATAGAGTGAAGGAAAGCTTAGAGTAATTTGCTTTTAAAGAAGTACTCTCAAAACAAAAACAAACAATTTTTTTTAATTCTGCCCCTTTTCTGCAAGGGACACGTCTTTCTATCAAGAAATCTCTCATTATTCTCAGAACTTAGTCTGCAATATACAAACATTAACAGGTTTGGGTATCTTTGTCTCAGATTCTAAAAACAAAATCCTGGATTTAGCTCATGCTGCAATCATAATTAGAAACCTTTAGGTCAGTCAGGAACCCCATGACTTTTACAAGCTGATCACCTGTCTGATATCAAGATATTTATGATTGGAAATCAAAATCAAATTCTGCATTTTCCTAACGGTTTTTATAAAAGTACAGTCTATTGGGGAAAATGAGTATGATAAAACCGGTCATTCAAAGATTTTTTTGAGGCACTTCATGATCATTTTGAAGCGCAAGTTTTTAGGGCTTCAATATTACACCATATTACAGACACTGATAACATGTAGGACCATGCATCTCAGATTTAACATTGTTAAACGATGCCTTTAAAGCTTTTAAAAAATAAATTCAATTCCACTTTTCCTTTCCACCTATCCTTTATATCCCTACCTTGAGTGGCAGCGAGAGCACTTAATCTTGCAGCTCTTCTCACGTTCACCAACCCTGGACTGAGGTTAAAGGTCGTATGCCCATCTGCCAAAGAGGGCACTCCTGTCGTGGTCGTCACGGTGATCCGACCAAGCGCTTGGGCAGAGGGGTCCAATGGATCCTCCAGCTCGGTGTTCTCGTCCGGTGAGGCCATTGGTACTGCTTCCTGGACTGGGGTAAACTCAGGGTCCCAGATAGGTGAACTACTGTTGAATGCTTCCTCCTCTAGCATTGCTAGGAATCTTGAGGGAAAAAAGGGATTTACAGACATTTTGTTTAGAAAATTATTTTAAAAGATGTTCCAATTGATAAGTGAACTACTGTTGTATGCTTCCTCCTCTTACATCGATAAGAATCTTGAAAGTAAGGGATTTACAGAAATTTTCATTAGAGAATGAATTTTAAAGTTGTTCCAATTATATGCCTCTTCCTCTAACATCGATAAGAATCTGGAGGAAAAAAAGGGATTTACAGAAATTTTCTTTAGCACATTATTTTGATTAATTATTTTGGGTCCCCGATAGGTGAACTACTGTTGTATGCTTCCTCCTCTTACATCGATAAGAATCTTGAAAGAAAGGGATTTACAGACATTTTCATTAGAGAATGAATTTTAAAGTTGTTCCAATTGTATGCCTCTTCCTCTAACATCGATAAGAATCTTGAAAAAAAGGGATTTACAGAAATTTTCTTTAGCAAATAATTTTAAAGATGTTCCAATTTAATTTTATTTATAAATTTATTTCATTTCCAGGCATGATAACAATACATGGAAAACATCACAGGGTTGACACAATTATATAACATTAACAGTATCATATTTAGCACCAGCCAATGCCTGGGGATCACCCTAGAAGAATTTAAGAATTGTGTTGAGAGGCTCTCCACATTGGCTGGTGCATACATAAAACAAATATAAAGATAAGGTAAACACATACATGACTGCAAAACTAAATTAACCCTCATATTTAGGTACATGTGAGGGAGATCAGAAGCAAATTATTTTATGTCATACAATAATACCATGCATTAAACATAGTCTGTTCAGACTAAATTTGGTATATGATACACAAATAGCAAAACTGATTTCATAATGAATGATCAAACTATCTGCATAATTTTGTATTTTGCTATTGCAATTGTTTATACCATGTATTTTTTTCCCTTTACTGGGAACTACGCCATACAAGTTTTTATAAACTTTGTTGTAGTTTCCGTTTTTTCTCTTACTATGTATATTTGCCATTTTTTGTATATATTATTATATTGTTTTTATGCTTGAGAAAAATTAATAAACTGAACTGAACTGAACTGAACTATTTCATAACACTAAGAAATAATATACAATTTGGCACCAAAACTTGTTAATGATGGCAAAATGAATAATATGGCATATTCAATTTTCATATTAAAGCCAAAATGGCAATGTGAGAATAGTTTTTTCTCTTTTTAAAGGTACTATGTCCCTTTTGCAGCTAACCTCAAATGCAAAGAGACACCTATTCAGGTCAGACAGCTAGCGTACACGCACCGATACCTCTCATGAATGAATTGTTTTGATAACAACACCATCACCATTCTTTGCTAACAAGAGCATGAAATCAGACCAAAACTTGTCTCTTTGTCGGTGACTTTAATATTATATAGAACGCAATGGACTTGGCCTTGTAAAGAGCCTGATGTCTAAATTGCACTAGTTAGTGTGAAAACATCAGAATTGTGGAGCAGTTGCACATCTGCATACCCATGACAATCAACACTTTTAGAGTGGTGAAGTGTAACGTCATCAAAAATCTATTTTGGGAATTTCTCAATTTTTTCTTCATTTTACGAAAGAGCATAAAAATAATGTCTGAATGTCGAAAAAACCAATTGAATATATTAAGTATTGGCTGAGATAAGACCATCTGAATAAATAGATTTCCTATAGGAACTCAATGTTATATTGCTCTGGTTCATAACATTACGAGCCAGAGCACAAATGGTCAGATGGTCATATCTCAGCCAATCCTTAGCCAATACTTAACCTATTCAATTGGTTTTCGACATTTGGTCATTATTTTTGATGCTCATTTGGAAAATGAAGAAAAAAATTGATAAATTCTAAAAATAGATTTTTGATGACGTCACACTTCACCCCTCTATTGCAGCAGTCGTACATCTGCATACACATGACAATCAATACTCATAGATCCAAACAGGAAGTACATAAAGCTTGTATTCTCTAGAAAAAGGGATAAGGCATAATGAAGTAATATATTTTGCATTAAGTACATAGTTACTGAGTCAACAGGATGTCATATGAACACATATTTATACAGAGAAAGACAGATGTAGAAATGAGTGGAAAAACAGGAGAGACAGACAAATATAAGAGCAAGTTACTGAGAAAAAGAATGAGGAAATAGAGAAAAACAAACTATTAAAGGTACTATGTCCCTTTTGCAGCCAACCTCAAATTCTGTAGAACTTTGCAGGAATTATGAATATGTCATGTATGTCCTATCTGTGAAATTTAAACGTTAGCAGTGTCCTCATATTCAAATTATGCAAGGAAACCCGTTTACTTGCTAGACTTCACTGTCAGACACTATTGAGTGACTGACTGGCTTTTTTTCTTCTTTGGTAATAACATACATGAAAAGAGTTGTAAAGGGTACATGAGCATTTGTCTACATCAATAACCCACTTCTTGTGATGGCCAAGATTAAACTGATTGAATCTTTGCGCAGCATAAAACGTACAACCATTCGGTACAATTGTCTGAAAATCAATACTATTACTTTTGGGCTCTATAGCCCTAAAGTCGATTTGACAACTAATAGTCGGTATTTTCCCACTTGAAGACATTTTCAAGCCCTACCTTTTTTAGGGAAGTTCTAAATTAGTATTATCTTTCAAATGCAGTTGGAATTTAACTTTTTCATTTTTTGGGCCTGCAAATGGGACATAGTACCTTTAAGGCAGTCATGTCAAATACTGTACACATCTTTTTCAAATTAGAGGGGAATTGAAACCAAACTGCTCATTTGACATCATACTTGAAAGTTACAGTTACATATTTGCAGACGTCAGATAGAGGTTGGTGTTTCAATGTGCTTGATTTTTTTCATACAAGACTGCTTTTTGTGGATATTTAGTTGTAGGTTATTAGGTCTATACTAACTGCTACATGGTAATATCTAAAGTTCTTGAGAAACTTGTTTTTACAAGAACAACCACGTTTTTTAAAAAATACAATATTTTCTCACACTTCCAATTTGGTTTCCGTGAAAATCATAGCACCTCGCATGCAATTTTGTCTTTTATGAAAACAGTTACCACTTCCATTGATAAAGGTTTGCATACTGTAGGTATATTCCTGGACTTCTCCAAGGCCTTCGACACTATAAACCATGAAATTCTTCTTCACAAACTTTCTCACTATGGTATTAGAGGGAAGGCCTTGGAGTGGTTCAGGAGTTACCTTACAGATAGGACTCAATTTGTATCGGTTAACAACTGTAATTCTTCTACACTTCCTATTACCTGTGGTGTACCGCAGGGTAGCCTACTCGGCCCCCTTCTTTTTATTACCTATATTAATGACATTCAAAAATCTTCAAATTTATTATCATTTATACTTTTTGCAGATGACTCCAACATTTTCTTTTCTCATGAGAATGCGAACCAACTATTTAGAACTGTAAACTCTGAACTAAAAAATGTAACTGACTGGATCAAGGCTAATAAACTATCACTTAATCTGCAGAAGACCAATTACATGCTATTTAGCAACAAAATCAATAGTTTGCCAGGTGAAATTATTTTTGATAACGCTGCTCTTGTTAATGTTTCTACAACCAAATTCTTGGGAGTGTTTATTGATGAAAAATTATCATGGAAAACTCACATCGATAATATATGCAAAACCATTTCACGAAACATCGGTATTATCAATAAACTCAAATACTTTCTTCCTTCTCGAACTCTTCTTACATTATATCATACCTTAATATTACCATACATTAATTATGGGATTATAGCATGGGGATGTGCAATACAAACACAATTAAATAGGATCCTACTGCTGCAGAAAAAAGCACTCAGGATAATATTTCAAACACAATTTAGATCTCATACAGATATTTTATTTTTCGAAAATAATATTCTCAAAGTGAAAGATATCTATGTGTTCCAACTCGGCCAATTTATGTTCAAACTAAGTAAAGACGACCTCCCCGCAATTTTTTCCGATATGTTCTGCAAAAATGCCTCTGTACACAATTACCCGACTAGACAACGGAACTGTTATCACTTACCCTTAACACGAACATTATTTGCACAGAATTCATTTGTCTTCGCTGGATGTGCCTATTGGAATTCTCTTCCCAACGATATAAAAGAAGCCCCTAGTCTTAGCAATTTTAAACGTAAACTTAGGAAAACATTAATCAGCCAATACTCCCCACCAATAAGCCAAGCTCAAAAATCTAAACCTACGGAAAGATAAAACAAATCTTTCCTTTTGTTATTCCTCCTTTCCTCCTTTTTTGTTTCTTTTTTAAGAATAATCTAAACAAGCCTAACGACCTGGTGGTGTACCTGCCTCCTGTCCCCATCTCCTTCTTCCTGCCTTTCTCTCGCTCTCTATTTCTCTCTTGCTCTCTCCCCTTTCTCTCTCTCTCTCTCTCTCTGTTACTATATTTATCTTACTTTTATTTTTACTTTTACTTTTTCTTTTTTTTTGTATTCCCTTTTAGTGTGTTTTACTGGTATTAGCTTTCGACCATAATTATTTAAGCGTATCCATGTAACTAAGTCAGGGGCTTGCCTCATACAAGCTCTGCTTTTTTAGCAAGCCCCTCCGTTTTGAATTACTTCATCAAGGTCATTTTTTTTTTCTATTGTTCAGTACTGTTTTTTCCCAATATTTCTTATCAACTAAATTTTGTTCTACATAATACTGAATTTACTTTGTTTATATTATATTTGACTGTATTATATTATGTCTGTTTATATTTTGTTTGTTTTGAAACGGAAATAAAATCTGAATCTGAATCTGAATATAACATAAATTTGATCTAAACCTATACAACATATTTCCAATGAAATCAGGAAAAGGACACAAAGCACATCTTTCTTGTTCATGGAAAATATTGCCTACCTTTAAAGGGATTGGGTAACTTTGTCTCAGATTCTAAACAAAATCCTTGATTTAGCTCATGCTGCAATGATAATTATAAACATTTAGGTCAGTCAGGAACCCCATATTTTTTACAAGTCGATCGCCTGTCTGATTATCAAGACAGTTATGATAGGAATTAGAAATCAGATTCTGTTTTCCTAATGTTTTTTTATAACACTTCAGTCTCTAGGGGAAAATGAGTATGGTATAACCAGTCACTCAAAGATTTTAACTTATTTGAGGCACTTCATGATCATTTTGAAGCGCAATTTTTGTTAGGGCTTCAATATATCACCATATCACAAACGCTGATAATATAAAGGGCCGTTCATCTCAGATTTAAATTGTTAAACGATGCCTTTAAAGAGGAGGCCATGATCTTACCTTGGAAAGTGAGTCAGCACCAGATTGCGTTTCTCAGCAGGCATGTTGTCTTTCTCTGATCGTAGCATGTCTAAGACCTGCCGCTTCATCGCAGGGAACACCGTCTTCAAGAGAGTCCGACCGAAGATATCCGTTGGTTCATGATGCTGTAGACTGTCGCAGAAAGATGGCACATGGCAGTAGCACAGCCATCTGTAGGAAGAAAAAGAAAATATTTGGGAAATCAAATGATGGAATGATGATATATGACACGATTGTGTGTATGGGAAAAGTGCTATTGTTTTACAGACATTTACTAACACTCACCATCAACCCTGGAGATGACATAAATCCCAATCATATACCTGACCAAACCCCAAACCTAAGCTAAACATAAGCTAAACTTAACCTAAAGTTAACCTAAACTTAACCATAACCCTAAGCATAAACCCTGACCCAACCCCAAAACCTAACCTAAACCTCAGCTAAACCTAATCTAAACATAACCATAACCATAATCATAAACCCTGATCAAATTCCAAAACCTCACCTAAACCTCAGCTAATTCTAAGCTAAATCTAACCATAACGATATCCATACTCATAAACCCTGATCAAATCCCAAAACCTAACCTAAACCTCAGCTAATCCTAAGCTAAACCCATTCATTGGCACATGAATTGGAATTTATTTTGTTGCAGCAAAGAAAAGGAAAGCAGCCCTTGGCTTGTTGAGCTCACCTTGTGTAGGTGACCTTGTATGCACCTGCTTCATCCACCTGCGCTCTTTGCTTCCTGGCTGTGGGCGTCTCTAACTTCCAATGGTTCATACAGTGAAGAAACATCTTGGCAAGGTCGTACATCGTCATCCAATCCTTGTGGACCAGGTGACCAAACTTGAAGTGGACAAAGTTGGACACCCCCTGGGGAGAGAGAGAGGGGGGGAAGAGAGAGACAGAGAGAGAGAGAGATAGAGAGACAGAGATAGAGACAAAGACAGAGAGAGAGAGAGAGCAAGAGAGGGGGACACAGAGACACATAGAGAAACAGATAAAGAAAGAGAGAAAAATCAGAGGCCAAAATGATTGTAAACAATCACAACGCTAATCCTTGACCACAAAGACCCTTCCAGAAATGAATAGGCATAAGGGTTGAGCCACGGCATTTCACTATCATAGTGGGTTTTTTTTAATGTATTTCTCCCTAAGGCCTAAAAAAAAAGATGTTATGTTACCCTTTAGGTGCCCTGTAGGTCAGTCGGAAATCTTTCTTCTGTTTTTGTTTTTTTGTTTTACTACCTCTTTGAGCTGATATTTCTCTTTTTCTCTAAAAAAAACAGTGACAAAAACAAACAAAAAATTAAAAAGCTGACTTCAAGATTTCAAGATTTTTGGGTCAGATGCATAGGGCAATACAATTTTTATTTAGACCTAACATACCAAAGTGGCCCTGCAAATTAACACACAGATGACAAAATGCACTGAAGGGTGAAGGGGAGAAGCCATATGGTAAGACAAAGAAAATGACAGAAATAATAATAATATAATACTGCACATCTTTATAGTCTGTGTCTAATGGCGCTTTAGAGTGATCATCATGGAGAGAAAATTGGCATGATCACCTTCCAATGTAGACTCTGCAGTGTCTGGCTTACCTTAGCAATACTTGGTTTCTCAAACGGAGGGCGACCCAAAGGACCTTCTACGGACGGTGAACTCATCTGCAGGATGCACTTCCTCAGGAGCTGTTTACAAAACAGACGGACAAAAATGTTGATTTAAATCGGGACTGCACTACTTGTAGCTACTTGCGCTCTCTATACTCTCTCTCTAAAAAATTTGATTTATTAAAAAATGAATTTTCAGTCTATTTTCACTTTCTTGGGAGTGATGTCAGGGATCACTTGTTATGAGTGAATATCAATTGATTTTAGAGCGTTCTCTAAGAAGAAAGGAGTGAATGTTCACTCTATTTTCACTACATTTTCATCCTCCAGAGAGTATAGCAAACAATGCCTAAGCGGTACCTGTTGGTCCTCCATGATCCCCTTTTTCTTATGTTAATTAAGAGCTTATTTGATGAGATAACCACCTGTCAGTGATCATGCAGGGAGGTCTAATCCCTCCTGACTAAACTAGTGCAGACAGGCTTTAATTCATTTTACATTAGTGACATCAAACTTTTCTTTTTACTCTTATAAAAATGTAAGAAATGAAAGTAGAAACCACATTTACAGTCAAAACATTTGCTAACATTTGATCGACTTTTTAGTCCATTGTTATTCCTGGAATAGAGAAGAGAAGAGGCTAAAATTGAAAATGTGATATGCAGACATCAAACCATAAAGCCAATAAAGGTTATCAATTTAGTTCATTCCAATGAGTGAAATCTTGTGACATAACATTAATGGAATCGTTGTTGCTTTACTCTGCTTTTCAATCCCTACCAAAAGCACCTCCACTTGGACGCACATTAAGCATGTTACGCTGTTTGTCTTCTTTCAAATTAACCTTTTAAAGCCCCACTGCACTACTTGTACATGTAGCTACTTGCTCCCTCTATAAAGAAAACAACGCAAAGCGGTGCCCGTTGGTCCCCCATGATCCTCTTTTTCTTATGTTAATTGAGAGCTGAGTTGATGAGATAACCACCTGTCAGTGACCAGCAGGGTGGTCTAATCCCTCCCGGCCAAGGTACTATGTCCCATTTGCCGGCCCAAAAAATGAAAAGGTTAAATTCCAATGGCATTTGAAAAATAATACTAATTTAGAACTCCCCTTAAAAAAGGGGGGCTTGCAAACGTCTTTACAGTAAGTGGGAAAATAATGACTATTAGTTGCCAAATCGACTTAGGAGCTATAGAGCCAATAACTAATAGTCTTGATTATCAGACCATTGTACCGCATGGTCGTACGTTTTATGCTGCGCAAATATTCAATCAGTTTAATTTTGGCCATTACAAGAAGTAGGTTATTAATGTAGACAAATCCTTTACAACTCATTTTATTTATGTTATTACCAAAGAAGAAAAAAACCAGTCACTCAGGCAATACTGAAAATAGTGTCTGACAGTGAAGTCTAGCAAGTAAACGGGTTTCCTTGCATAATTTGAATATTAGGACACTGCTAACGTTTAAATTTCACAGATAGGACATACATGACATATTCATAATTTCTGCAAAGTTCTACAGAATTTGAGGTTGGCTGCAAAAGGGACGTAGTATCTTTAAAACCTTTAAACATTTTTTGCTTAGCACTGCAGCCTTTGGAATACTTAGTCATACAGAATAATGGTGTAAACCTTACCTTGAATAGATGGAAGTAGACCTGCTTTGTGTCTGCATCCTCTTCCTTGTGAACGGACATGAAGAGGTGTTCGACGTCGACTACGATGCCCAGGAGTCTGTCGATCTCCTCCTCGGCAACGTCCTCCAGATGGGATACGTGCGCAGCTGTTTGACAGAAAAGAATCGTTCACATATGATTGCAAGACAATATGAGAATTACTATATATATATATATATATATATATTTAATAAAATATATTCATTTGTACAGCGCAATAACTATGTAGATATACTGCGCAGCAAGAGCTCGTAAATGTTGTGCTATACATACTACATGAACAATTGAGTTTTCAGTCTTGATTTAAAATTTTCTAGTGATGGGGCTTCCCTTATTTCTAGTGGTAATCTATTCCATAATCTACGGGCAGCACAAAGAAATGCCCAGTCTCCGAGGGTTACTATCGCACATAGATAATTGTGCTTTACTGTAGTGATGTTACTAAACCTGGATGTGGTTATAGGAAAGAATTCATTTCAAAATGTGAGTGAGAATGAGAAGATAAAACATCATTTCCTACACCATGGGGATATTGAGAATAATAATTGCGGGCACTTGCATTGCGTTCATGTCTGTTAGAATAGACACTCCTGGCCCTCCACATCATTACCCATGCTTTAGCATGGCTGCCATTACGGCACTCTAACATTTTAAGGAATTAATTCCTGCCAGGTACTCATTTACCTCACCTGGGTCGAGTGTGGCAAATGTAGATTAATGTCCAGCCAAAGTATATTAGTGCTGCGATGGGACTGGAACTGTGAACCATGTGATCACAGTCCAGTGACTAACTTATTCATTAGACCATGACACCTCCACATTTAATGAAGATGAGGAAGATAATTCTTGACATGACTTTCCTCTAATTTCAAAAACATTTGAGGTTTACCAACTCGCTTTGGCTGAACTTTTGACAGCATTTAGATATAATTATATGGGGCAATATTTCTGTTTGAAATCTACCAAAGGCACATTCAATTGATCCAAAGGTAATTATGGTATATACATGATATCTCTTCAAATGAGTTTTAAAATCATAAAACGTGATATTGCTCAGGAATGTCACAAAATAACTCTATAATGGATAGATCTGGAGGGCATTTCACAAAACTTGTCATCAGTTTTTGTTATAAGCTACTGAAATCCTTGCTTCTGATTGGTTATCAGCAGATTTGTCACTAATTTTTGTCATTTGTCATTGAAAAAAGGCTTCGTGAGTGGGGTCCCGGGGCTTCAGACATACCGAGTTGATGACCACAGCTCTTGCATGGGTCTGAACGGCTAGCCAATGGTGTGGTTACATCCAGTCTAGCAGGCTGTGTCGGGGTAGGAGGGGGGTTAGGGTTCTTCCAGCCATTGCACTTGCACGCTTCATCTGCCTGTTTTAAAGAAAAAGAAAAAGAAACATTGCCATGAGAAAAGCCCAAACAACAAGTCTGATTTCTGACTGAACCTGAATTCTGACTCCTGGGAACAAACTATCTCTGTGAAGCAAACATGAGAAGATGATTGGTATAACTTTTCAAACTATATACTGTTTGGCTGAGGATTTTATATCAATTGAGGTATCCCCACTTGATGATGTTGAGCAGATTTCTCCTGAAAATATCTCCTTTAGACTTTCTACGTTACAAGGAACCAAGGAACGGAAGTTAAACTTCTATTTTTTCTACTGTACTATGGTCTTGGACTTTATTTATGCTCTTGAAGTTTCATTTTGTATTTGTTTTCTTTTCCTCCCCCCCCCCTCCTTAGTTTTCTTCTTCCCTTCTTCTTCTCATCTTCTACATCTGCAGCTCACAGAAATCAACCTAGTCAGAGAACACAGTCAAAACTGATTTCCTTCAATTACAATTTCTGCACATCATGATGTAGACCTAGATCTACATCATACATGTATTTTAAAATAGACATGACAAAATTAAATGTTTGTTTCTTTCATTCTTTCGTTCTCTCTCTAGCTCTCTCTTTTACTCACAAATTCAGAATGGCAATAGACAAAGATTTAGACCTATATAGATGGAGGGCGTTTAGAAGGCTATCGTCTTACAAGGTGAATACATGTGATTAGTAGTACATCTAGGCTACATGTGAAATGGTAATGGGTAATTAGGAATAACACGAAAATGATAGCATGGGACTGTAATGAACAATATAACAAAGAACTACGATACCTTGCAGGAAGAGTAAACGCCTAATTTTTCCAACTTCTTTGTTCTTGGAAAACTTCTGACTTGAGATTTCCGTTGTGCATTTCTCTGCAGATTGACAGACCTCGTAATTTCAGTCGGACTTAGCTGCGATCCTGAAGAACGCCGAGATTCTGTGGCTGAATCAACGATGCTTTGTTCGTCCTCAAGAGTAGCCATGATTGAATGAAAGTCATAATATCACTAGTCTTTGCGCACGTCATACAAGCTGGTTTACGTACTGCTTGTTGAACTAAAGTTCGCGCGGAAACTGGGTCATTTTCTCTATTTGAGTGGGTACATGCTCGAGATCAGCCCGAGTGTGAAGGGAGGGAGGGGGGGGGGGTAAAGTCAAAGTTGCAAAGTAAATATCATCTCCTTCAATTTAGATTTTTTTTTTTTACGAATGATTGCAAGACAATTAATATGTTACTTACAAGGCCCATATTCGGCCCAGGATGAAAATACATCCACGTATAAAATATATCTAAAGTATAAAGTTCACTCTCGCTCTCTCTCTCTCTCTCTCTCTCTCTCTCTCTCTCTCTCTCTCTATCCCCTCCCCTCTCTCTATCTCGATTCTCCCCTCTCTCTATCTCTCTCCCTCTCTCTTTCACTCTATCTCTCACCCCCTTGTCTCTTCTTCACAACAAAAGGAAAAGAGGAGTAACTTAAACAGAAATTTGTGTAAAGAAAGCATGATTGAACTCAACTTGATAAAAAAACCTGTATAATTCTGAATTGTATATCATCAAGGTATTCCTCCATTGTTGCATGTTGCAAAGGGGAATAGACTAATTGGGTAGTAGACGACCTGGTTGTAGACGAAACTGCAATTCACCGTTTGCTAGAGCCATCTTATATAAGGCAAAGTCACTTTCGGTGTTTGCAACAGGAATTTTGCTATAGATGCACTCAAAACATTTTTCAGTTCAAATTAACTTATAACTTGATGAAATGACCATGATTTCCTTTGACCTAGTCCAATTTCAAGTGATAATTTTTCAGATGAATGGTCACAACTAAATTTGTTTAATTCAGGGGTGTTATTCATGAAGCATGGGGTCAGCTTGAAATGAATGGACATCCTATCACACACCTAAGAGGGCGACAGTTATTGATAACAGGTTTTATGAAACGGGGCTCAATATATGATTGTCCAGTTTTACTGGGTAGCAATGAAATTACTTCTTATATCAGATCCTTGTTTTATCAAAGCTAGATAAAACTATAGTATACATAGAAGTGAAACAAAAGACTAGCATAATTACTGTGTTACATGTTTTATGAGAGTTTGATCTCCTTGTATCAGGCACCACTGTGTCAGTATCATCAAGAATAGCTGAAATGGATTTTCAGTTTTCTCAACTGTAATCTATCTCATATTTCAATTCAAAATTCTATTGAAAAATACATACATGACAACATTCAAGGTGACATCTGCACAGTGTATACAAAAGAACAAACATGAAAAGAGGGCTTTGCATTAGGAGAAACGATTCACATGATTGGGCATTGATAATAACCACAAATTCCATACTCTACAATGTAGGGCTACATCATCATAGAGATTATATTGCGGTAAAAGAGGGGTTTTCACAAAGTTTTTATTTATTTCGAAATTCTCATGATTACCACATATCTCTTTGCCATGATACGCAATATCAATCAAAGAAGCCAACAGTATATAAAAGAAGTTCCCAACATGTGTACTTAATGAAAATGGAATGGTTAACCATGGACCTACTAGTCCATGGGTTAAAGGTAAAGACCAGTTATGGTCATGCGATTGCATTGTGAAAGAAACGTTGTGGAATCGATCAGAAAAGGTTGATCATCTAGCATCTAGCATCTGCAAGGTTCTGGAATCATCAAAATGATAAGAAATTTGGCCCATTCTTTGTAAAGTTACAAGCACTATACACAGAAAGATGTATATGGGACTACCCTATATCTCTCACAGACCATGAGAGAAACAAATTTACCAAATATATGAATTAGTAGGCGGTTTCCCGGCAAATTTTTTATCATCATGTATTAGTCAAAACATATTCTTTCACATGATTGGTAATAAGAGCTTCCATTTCATTTTTTGAAATTGGGGCGTTTCCAATACTGGTCTTTACCTTTAACCAAAACGTTTCAGGGTTGTATCCATAGATAGGTGCATGATAATCATAAAAGGAATTCAAAGAATGTATATAAAACACATGTATTTGTACCTTTCCAGCAATTATCATCGGGCCCGTTCACACATAACAATTTATTATTACGATTTGGATCGGGATGCAAAGATCGATTTCTTTTCGGCAACTATTCATACACAGGAAGAAAAATTTGGGGGGAAAATGCAAGACTTACTGCAAATTGGATCGCGATGCGAATCGCGAAGATTATATAAAATTATTCTGTCCATGCACACACGAAGATATAAAAAGATTTTTTGGATCACGATGCAACAATCAGTTTTTAAATCTCAGTTTTTTTCTGTAGGTGTGAATCTCATGATTATGAGCCTCATATATTGCTTATTTCATTCCCTACCCACTAACTTATTTGATTTAACTTTACTTGATCTAACTTAATTTAGATTTCAGTATTTTCTAGCTCTGATTTATGCAAGTATTTATTTACATACCGGTGCATGTATTTCCAAATTCTTCTAACGTTGCCTATATCCGGCGGGTCCTAGGAAATTCATCTTATAATAAGAAAATTATATGCAAAGGCTTCAGTTTTCCAGGAAATTGTATTTCAGGAAGGGTGTGATCTCATTGTAAGCTCAATCTAAATTGACGCAGGTCTTGGTTTCACTTGAAAAGAACATTTCCTCTGTTTGGAGCAAGAAGGGCATTAATTCAAAATAATTTACATAGTGTTGAAAGAGAAGGTTGAGCTCTGGGGAGAGGTGAAAAATAATTAGTGAGCGTTATCATTGTTATTATGCAAGTGTGGAAGAACATCAGAGAAAAAATGTTCCCTGACAAGCGTGGCTCTTCAAAATGCCTTCATATTCTAAATATGACAAGTAACAGCTTAAAAATGAGGCCCGATTGTTATGCCACATGTTCGTGTAGTCCCATATGCAAGACTGAGTCAAATTTCTTATCATTTTGATGGTTCCAGAACCTTGCAGTACACACTAATACATCTATGCTACATGGTCAACTATTTTTGATCGATTCCACACCGTTTATTTCACAATGCAATCGCATGACCAGAACTCAACTTTATCTTCAACTCCCTTCTGGCGGTGGTTTAAATCAGTGCGTCACATAACTTCATACAATATGGGCGTTAATTCAGGTCATGATATTGGCATCTTTGCAAGTCTTTTCAGTGAATCTTTGCCTATAAATTGATTAAAAATCGTATGTCCACAATGGTATTTCATTAAAAAAAAGTTTACAATCTTCAAACTGATGTTGCATAAAAGATAAATACTATATGAGATTATGTGCAGAAGACACCTCCCACATTGATTGTAAGCAATTATTTTTTACTTATATGACATCATGAATTGATGGAATAGAAACAACTAATTTAACGGTAGTGGTGCTAGCAGAGTTTGACACAAAAGAGAAACTCATATCTATCAGATATTGCCAATCATAAATGTATGTATACATTCAGTAGAATGTGATATCATTTGATTGATACGAGAGAGAGAGAGAGTAAATAAATAATATTGTACAATAAATGCACAAACTGATATATTGTGTCTGTTTCTTCTTTATTTTTTGTTTATCTTTCTACTTGCCATCAAGCAGTACAAGAAGTAAAGTTGTGAGAATTTCTTTATATAAGAGGAGTATAACACAGGACTATTCAGTTCCGGATACTGGTATCCTTTTTTCAGTTTCATTTATTTCTCCTCAAGAGATCAACAGATAAAATACATATATAAACAGACAAATGTATGACAATACTTGAATTATACAAAGTGAGGAAGGCAGTGGCCCAAAAGAAAACAAATCTTTTAAGGGGCCAACCCTTTAAGAAAACAAGATATAATATCTAACATAAAAAACATCAAAAAGGAACACAAAATACGATGAGGAATGAAGTACCTAACCTAATAAACAAATTAACAAAAGAGCCTAATATTGAATCTAATATTTAGATAATAAAAATACTTTATATTTCCTTCTAAAACATATTTATGCAGCACATGTACATGTATTTTGCTAAAATAATTCGGCTAATCTCTCCTGTCATTAATTGAATAGATCAGAGTTTTCAAGAAAGACGACTTCTCTGGGATGTCCCTGTACCTGCATTTCAACATACACATCAGAACCTCGTGGAAGGTAGGATGCTTCAAAGCATATAAGATAGGATTGACGCATACATTACACAGAAAGAGAATGGTTAACCAAGGAACGGCAGGGTCACTGGTGGGTATAAGATAGGAGATGGATGGAGGCATCACGCAGATTGTATAGACACAGACAATGATGAAGAGATTGATGGTTATCTTGCGCTGTTGCTTGTAGCGAGCTTCCTGATTTTCCCTTGCCAGTGTTTCTCGAGTGATGATTTGAACTGTTGGTGGCGTCATCGTGTCGGAAGGCGATATGGTTGTAGATCCTGCTCGGTCTGGTTTTAGCGCTTTCGTAGGTGCTTTCGAATGTCCCCCATTTGTCATTGTTTCGCTTTCACAAAGCTCAGCTGCGTCAGACGGCTCTGCTAAGATTTCCCGATCTTCAGGTGGCGCGGTTTTGATGCCGTCACTTTCATCAAACCCAGGATTGATGGTACCATGATTGGGAGCATCTGGTTGTTCTTTCGACAAATCCTCAATGATTGTGATGTTGACGACTTCGCTATCCGTCGTCGAAATCATGACCGAAGGGGTCATGATGGCGTTCATCTCTTGTTGATGACGCCTGAACATTTTGAAGATATTGAAATAGCAGACGATGATGACGATAAAGGCGGGAAACTGAATGAGGAGAGCTAGACACACCGTCAGGGTCAGATAGTCTGAGTTGTCACTCTCCGTATTCCGCGCGCACACTTTGTATTGAAGAGCATAGCCAAGGGACGTTGGGTCCAGTAGTAAAATGATAAACATGAGAACAATTGGGTAGATCCAGGTAAAGGAAACCATTATCACGATATTCCGAGTGCTAAATGCGTTGTTAAATTTGGGTTGGGGTTTCATGATGGCGTTGAGGACGGTGAAGCGATGGAAGGCGATCGCGGCTAAGGTAACAACGCCGCAACTAAGTGTGGTGAGGGTGGCTGCTGCTACGAACTGGCAGAGCAGCTCCGGGATGTAACAACTTGATTTACTCAAGAGCGTGGAGGCGTGAACGGGGAGGAACATAGCTGTCAAAAAGTCTGCGACGGCCAAGTTGATGACGAAAACATTTGTGGTGTTCTGGAGTCGTTTGGAGAGGACGACGGCGGCGACGACGAAGAGATTTCCAAGGATTCCGATCAGGAAGATGATGAGGACTAGAAGAGCTAAGATGACACGGGGAGCGTAGTCGTGTAGAATGTACTCACCAGGTTCAATGTTAAAAGTCATGTTACAGACGGTGATCTTGTTCTGTTCTGTCCCTTTATCATAAAACAAATAATCGTCTGGTGACATGGTTGTAGAGATTCGTTGTCAGTGACCAATAATCGATCTTTGCTTTGATATCCCGAATGAGGTTTCAAAGGGATTGCGTCGTGAGGGTTGTGGCTTTGACGGCAGAGACGGAGGCGAACAACCTCCTACGTTGTCTTCGTCAGATAGTCCTCCACTTGATTCGTTGGAAATTTAAAGAACTCTTGTCCTCGGACCGTCACAGGTGATCTTCCTGTGAAGCAATTAAGAACTATTATTAAAGGGAGATAGGAATGGGGAATACAAGAAGAGTTCACTCAGTATACAATATAAGGGGTGTATTAGGCAGACCCACGAACTCTATACAAAATATTGTATGTTCGATGAAACTAATAGGCCCTACTCTTGCTCATAAAGTTGGAATAAGTTTTGTTGACCAATTGTGTGACAATATGGTTTGTTCTTGATAGATCAAGAATTTATCTTCTAAGAACTTTATTGATCAGTCTTTATTATCAATACACTTCCGAGAAGATATAAAGTTTATCTTCCTAAAAAATCATATTGCCTCACAAAAGAGGCAAGAAGCATTCATTCAAATGTTATGGGCAACGGTGTACAAGATGTAGGCCGAACCCGGTTTGTGGTGTTTCCAAAAAGAAATAGATTTATTCTTAAACAAGAAACAATATGATATGATGTTATCTCATGATGGCACGGCCTCTCAGGCCGACAAATACTCTCAAACAACTTATTTGGTGTGGGTAAGGAGATCATATTAGCAGAGGTTCAAACATCACGTGTTATCGAATAGAGCATCGAATTCACATTTTTTAATTTTTTTTATAAAAATAGTAAAATCTATGTCCATATAGCTCACTCCCTGTATTCGTTCTGCGGTTGATGAATATCGTTCTCAATTAACTGCAGAATTATTTAGAAACCTTGGACAAATTTTATAATAAAAATGGAAACCGCGATGTTTAATGCGCAGGAATCTATATTGATAATAATCACCCCTGATAAATCATCCCGAGTAGAATATGCGGATGTATACGGGTAGAATTACTATTTGCTTAATACCATCACAATAACAGTCACAAATATTATGACATATAACAAAGCACAAACTGTCTCACCATAATAGTCTTTTGCGTCGTTACAGAGACATCAAGGATCGGAGACGTTTCCAAATTGTAAAAACGGAAGAGCCGCTTGTAAAAGGACAACAGAATTAGATTAAATAACACACTATTTTACATGTATTAGTTCCGACTTGTTTTTAATAGACAGTGATACACCACAAATCATGACCTGCACAAATACATCTTTACTCTTCTGTATCGGCTTTCCCCACAAATATTGTATTCAGATCGCCTGTTTGCTTCAGGGGATAACCCACACAATACAAGTATCATTGCAGAATTTGGAGCTTAATACACAGAGTGTGTATTGAAATTCTTTGTATTTGAATGGTAGAAACACAAAACTCTTTCATTTTCCATGCTGCATAGTCAAGCGGATCTTTGATGACACATATCGTAGAATGTTATTATGATTCAGTAGAATAGGGAGTAATTCAATGGTTTCAGAGAGAGAGACAGAGAGAGAGAGAGACAGAGAGAGAGAGAGAGAGAGGGGGGGGGAGAGAGAGAGACAGAGATTATAGAGGGGAGGGGGTCGAGTTTAAAAGTTAGTGCAACCCGTATAAATGAATTATTTTACATTCAACAAAATGTATTAATTATTGCTAAGGTCACAAATTAAAGGTTCATACAAACGACAATTTCGTACGAATCTCCCTATTTTTCCATTGTCTTCCCGAATGTCCTCGCCTGAAAATCGTTCGTTCGGCGTTCGTAGCAGTTCGTAATGGCATTTAATTTGTGACCGAGGATTATCCTATAAAAAGAAGGAGAAGACGAAAAAAAGAAAAAGAAAAAGAAGAAGAAGAAGAAAAAGAAGAAGATGAAGAAGAATATCAAGAAATAGGAGAAGAGGAAGGAGACAAAAATAAGAAGGAAGAGAAGAAGAAGGAGGAGGAGGAGGAGAAGAATTACAACAGCAACAACAACAAGGAGATTAGAGGGAGAACAAGATTATTTGAATTACGAAATTACGAAGAAATTACGAGTTTTACGGCATGCATGGATATATTAAAGAAGTTCCAACTTACACGTAGGCCAGCTACGGAAAGATACTTTGGGTTCTAGGACACCTACCCCCTGGACATCCACCCCGGATAACCGCCCGAGTCAACTAACCCCTAGGACAACTGTCAGCTAGGACACATACCCCCTAGGACAAATACCCCCGGACAATCACCCTGGATAACCGCCTCCAGACAACTACCCCTACGACAACCACCCTCTAGGAAAACTACCCCCGGGCAACTATCCCAGGGGGTAGTTGTCCATGGGGGAGTTGTCGTTAGGAATAGTTGTCTGGAAAATAGTTGTCCGGGGTAGTTGTCTTGGGGGTAGTCGTCCTAGAGGGTGGTTGCCCTAGGGTGTGGATAGCCAGGGGCTAGGCCGTCCTGATACGGACACTGTGTATACAGTGCGTATAACAAAAAGTGTACCCAACTTTGGTAGATCCTAATTAAAGAGTCATAACCAATATGACTTTGAAATCTAGAGTAACTTGTTTTCTATCTAATGATATAACCTATTCATAATATTTCTGCCACGGGTGACTGAGCACCATTGTCTTTGAAAAGTATTGTCAAAATCGCCTCGTACCAAGTTTGGGCTGATGGAACGAATGCGAGCCATTTATATGCATGTGCTTCTTTGGTCTTAAATCCTTATAAAAGTTAAATTATTCCTCGCGTTTCAGTGCTTCATTGTTTAAAATTATACAACTATGTAGGCTTTCACAGAACCTTGTTCAGATCCATGGGATAAGCGTTGATTATTTTGAACAGCTTATTAACTTTTTGTCTCATGATTTTTACGTTCTCTCTGCTCGCTTGTCAACTGCGCCATTTCACACGCGGAAGGAGCATACTGTGTTTATCTCGAATAACGAATAAAAACTCAAATGTGACTAAACCCAAATGCAAAAGAAGTATCAAACAAATTGACAGCAGACTTTCATTGAAAAATAACATCCCCATGATACTTTATCCATTTTGTATCACTCAATGAGAAAGGTTGCCTTAAACAAGGGATGCGAAAGAGGTCAAGTTTGTAATCATCGAAGATCAACGAAGAAAACATCAACTGAAGGTGGGTACACTTTTGTACACGCACTGTATATATATATATATACAGTGCGTCCCAGAAAAAACGAAACCGAGAACTATCGAAATTTTATCATAACTTAATCACAATTATAATTAATAAATGACACATATTTGGAAAGCTTAGATCCTCCTCTTTCATTTGATGCAACTCATATGATGCATATTTCACGCATAAGTGATTAAAAGCAATTTGACGAGAGGAAACCAAAAAGTCATTTGGCGGGCGGTATCTGAATTTCAAGGAGAAAATCACATTTCTAGAAAGTTCAATTCTTGCCCTTTCATATGACACCTCAATCTGGAAAAGTGAGCCAGGAATAACAAAGTTCTGTTTGTTTAAAGTAATGCTTGCGTTTCCATAATTTCATCAAACGAGTTCGTTTTCACTGGCTGCCTGCCGTTGCAACGAACAGAGTTGACAAAAGACTTAACTCCGTTTCGTTGAAGATCAGCCATGCATCAGATCTTTCGTCTTCGTTGTGCATGGCTGATCGTTTTTTTCTGGGACGCACTGTATATATATAGTAAGCATGGCTCCATTTCTGCATAAATGATTAACTTTTTATTAAGGACAAGAATTTATTCTCATAATCATGGAATAATCTTTGACACGCCTTTCATCATAAACGTTCATAACTGTCCCATTTTACCTTTGACCTTGAGGGTAATTCCATGCTAAACTTGTTACCATTGAAAGATTGAAAGTGCACTATAAAGCCAATACGTGTCACTGCTAACGTTTAAAGAATAAGTGAGTATGCTCTTATTTCCTTAAATGTCTTTCCACGGTCTTCGAGTATGACTTAAAAGACGTTTGAACTCTTCACCTTCCACCGAAAACATTTATTTACAGTGAGCATTTTAATGGATTTTTGAACCTCGATCTATTTATATTCGCTTCCGTGGTTACGCAGTAAAATCATCAGTCCCATTTGCATGTTTTCATGTTAGCGTACTTTCAACTTGCTTCAACCTAGCATACGTGGTCTGTATACTATTACTAGTTCATACAACGTTCCGTCATTACTTCGCTTATTGTTCTATTACGTAACATCAAAAGCTAGAATCCTAATTTTACAAAGAGGTAATGATGACGCGGTCGAAGAAGCAGCAAGACAATGCCGACGCAGCTGACACTGAGCCTGTATTTTTAATTGATGACCTTTGCAAGAGTTCTGGATTCTTGGAAAGAATAAACGCAGTCGTGCAAAAGGCGGTAGATGTTGCTATGGAGCGGGAACATCAGGCTGGCAAAAGAAATGGAGAAGCGAGAAATCAATCTTCGAGATCTCTTGGATGCAAGACTAGCAAATCTTCACGAATAGACCAGTTCACGGTTAGCACATTACTGCAATGACCCCGAATATCCACAGATCTTTAAAACATGAAGAGGTCCCACTTTGTACATATTTAAATAATCACTCCTACAGCGATGGAGGTGCTACATGAATAGCCTTTGTTCCCCCTTTTCAAAGAATACTTCCACCTGTGTATCATGGAGTGCATAAATGAATAATGATTACATAACTTTCATGAGCACGTATACAGTATTTCGTCTCCGTGTATTTCAAAATTTGTTCTGCAATGACCTTTATCTGCTCATGCTCAGACTGCAACCGTGAACTGTCTATTGACAGCAAACTTCGGCAAGTTCGGGCTATGGAGGTAGCGGTAGAAAAGAGCGCAACTAAGGTCAACGAACTTACCGGCCGACTCGATCATCAAGAACAATACTCGCGTCGAAATAATATTCGGATTCTTGGGGTGAAAGTGACCTCGGGAGAGGATACAGACA